TTCATACCATTTTTTCTATATTAAATATTGATAGCATTGGTGATTTGTGATCTAATTTTTCATTTTAAAAATCATTTCTAATATTTTTATTAAGTTATGTATCCAATTGGTTATTATATTCATTTTAAAATTAAAAAATTAATATTTAAAAGATAATAAAAAATTGAAAGTGATGAAAGTCCCAAGACTAATTTGGAAATAAAGAATCCTTGGAAATTTCTAGTTTGGGTAATAATATTTTATGTTTCAATGATGTCTTTGATAAATTAATCTTTAGGATAAGGTTTCTTTATTATCTTATATCATTTTTTTTATTAATTATTATTGTCCCAAATATTAAATTTGACATCCAACTGTTTTTCTTAACAAGAACTCCATAAGGGTGATCTCTGGTTGGTTTGAGTTTGACTCTAAAAGTCAAAAGTACTAGGAGGTCCCAGGTTCAAATCCAAGGAGAAATAAAAATCCCCTTGTGGCCACAGAGATTCAAATGCGGTGATTCCGGACTATCTGCAAAGCAGGTGGTCGTCCTGGAATTAATCGGCTCGCATAGCGAGTTGGATATCCAGGTTCATAAAAAAACAGTAAAGTAATGTTTGGTATACAAACATGACCAGACTTGATTTAATATGACAAGACTGGATATGATAGAACAAGAATACATGACATGACAAATATCTGTCTTATATTTAGTATGACTAATATTGATTAGGACGAAACAAGACAAGTTGTCCTTAAAAAATATGTTGAAAAGTCAACAAATACTTGTAACATTTTAAATTATTTTATTAAAAAATAAATATTACTTTTATAGTATTTTGTAGCTCTATTCAATTATAGTATTGATAGAATCAACAAAAAATGAAAAATAAAACGTTAATTATAAATTTCAGATAATGATTACAGAGTAAATAAAATGGAATTAGTCAGCTCGCATAGTGGATAAGATATACAGGTTAATTAAAAAAAAGATAAAATGTATAAAATGCCAATTAATCCAGGTTTAAAGTGACGAGGAGTATATCGTGGCTACGAGGTAAGCCATAATACTTACGAGTTACGGTGAGGTTGTAACAACTTGTCTTATATGGATAGAAAATGAGGTTTTTGAACTCCTTATAAGCATCAAGTTGTGGGTTACGAATAACTTGCATCATGCTTTTAAGTTTGATTTAAAGTTATTAGGTCAACTTGTTACTTTGGGCTTTGAGGTGTTACAAATGTTATCAGACCGGTTGTACATCGGGATGCCCATGTCGCTGATTACAAGGAGAAAGATTATGGGCAGGCTTGGTGAGGACGTCATGAGTTTAAGTAGGGAAGTTTGTAACAACTTGTCCCATATTGATATAAAATGAGATTTGTAAGCTTCTTAAAAGTTTCCAAGTCGTGGGCTACCAATAATTTCTACCTTGTTTTCAAGTTCAAGAATGAAGGTAAAGATTTACCTATTTAGGGTTTTACGATTACATAATATAAGGGAATACGAAGCTATTTGGTTTTGTTCCTTGACAATTTGCTTATCATAGATTCCTTTTGCTTCGATTGGTTTGTCTCCGTCTTAATTTTATTTTTTTTTACAAAAATAATATACGTATAAACTATGTATAATAGTTTATATAGCATTCATTTAGGTGATGCAAGATCGTGTGATAATAAGAGTTAATGTAAGAAATGTAAGAAGAGATTTGGACCATTGATTACTTTTTATCTCGAACCAACCATGAATTGTGAAAGAGAATTGATCCAATGCTTCTCAAAATAGGTAAATAATATATGATTTTAGAGAGATAATTAATTTTTTATTTAAATAATTTCAAAATATTTAAAAAGGAATATCCAAAAAGCAAAACAACATATACTTGAGTTATTAGATGTTTGTGAAATCAACCCCATCCCAATGTCCAAATTCAAAAATTCTGTTTTCTCTCATTTTATTTTATTGATAAATAATAATATGTTAAAGTAAAAAAAATACACATATTATTGGATTATTTAATGTTGTAATATCTTATATTTTCGTTGTCTCAAAAATAAGTGTTCACAATAAAAATGACACGTAATTTTCTAAATATATAATTATTATATTTTTTAAATTGTTAAATGACATTTTTATCCTTGATAATAGAAAGATAAGTTTTCTAAAATAATAAGATAGACACTAATACTAAACGAGTAATTTTGGGGTAAGAGATTGTTTGAATAAGGCATACTCTCTCAAGGGTATTTTAGTAAATTGCATGCTTCATATTGTGCTTTATTTCTTCTTCCTTATCTTTTTCAGATATAAATAATTATATTTAATATTAAAAACAAAATAGTTGATTATAAAAGTCCATTTGATTATAGACAAACAAAAGCATACAAACGTGGACGGCTGAGATCGTACCAATTGACAAACAGTGGTAGGTTACTTCTCTCATCAGTTTCCTACCTTCTCACCGGTGGTCCACGTCTACTATCCTGTGGCCCCACAACACAATATCACTAGTTTTCCTTTATTCATTTATCATCATTAACTTAATTAAAACTAAAACTATATTTATATTTCCTTAATATATTATATACCTTTTTGATATATTATTTAACTCGAAATTATAAGAAACAATAAAATTATGAAATTACTTCTTCCTTAATGAAAGTATTTTTGGATAACCATAGGTTCTTTTACTGTATTACGTTACCAACTACTCTCTCGGGTAACCATGAATTATTTAGCGTTATTACAGGTGAATTTCCATGACCATAAAAGATTTAGCAGCGTCTGGATTCGAATCCAATATATATAAGATTTTCCACTATAATCCCTTAGACTTGACTTGTATGCGACAACCCAAGTGGTTGAAAAGTAAATAATTTCTCCACTCTTAAATATAAAAGAAACTAAATTGATGATATATACTAGAAGGGTACTCGCGCAATGCAGCGAAATAAATCTCGATTTTAATGTTCTATGTTATTCTTTGTCTCTGTCGATGTTATAATACGATTTTATGTGTTTTTAAAAAGCAATAATGATTTTATTTTTAAATAAAATATAAATTTGAAAATATCATAAAAATTTGAAAAAAATATATATCGATGTTAATATCAAATCAACTATTTAAAAATTCTATTTTTTTATGTAATTTCTTTAATTTTTTTATTATAATTTAATTTAAGTTTAATAATGAAATAATTTATTTTTGGTTTAATAATATATTATTTTATAAAGATAATAATTAAGTATTCTGTTAGAACTCAATGATTCTCCTAATTATATTTAGATTTTTTATATTTAAAATAAAATGTTTATCTTATATTTGATTATGTTTATCTACGGTTAGTTACACGAATTCAGATATGGAGCTTTAATAAGTTGTACTTATGCACAATCTACTTGTAATTTTGAGTTTTAAGTAACATGCATTAATAAACAGTACTTTATGTATAAAAACTGTTTTTTAAGAGTTTTTGCCAAATGCTTTATAATATAGTATATATATATATATATATATATATACACTAGTGGTGTACTCGTGTGATGCAGCGCGGGTGAATCACAATTTTGAAACATTAGTTTAGCCTTAAATCATGAGTTTGTGTGGTTATTTTACAAGTCAACTAATATTTAAAGTTGAATGTTAATATGATGTATTAGCAAGATCGATTGGAAAAATAATTGCATACATGTTGAGTTTCTAAATCCATATAAAGTTGAAGGGTTAGGGTGGGGTACATGCAGGATCTGAAACCCTTTCTGATATTGTTGCTTCAAATTTCAGTTTACTTCAAGAGAAAGAAGAACTTTGAATTTGAATTTGAGTTTAAAATAGGAAACAAACAAAGTGTCAAACAACTTTGAAAAGACCAAACATATTTTTCTCATGTAAATATGGCTTACTTAAATCTAAAACTTTGACCAAACAAATGATATGTTTTAAGCATTTGTACATTATGCATAATAGTTTGTACTTAAAAGATTTTTGAATCTCTTGCATAAATTTATAGTACTTTATGTTTTAAGACTTGTAATTAAGACTTTTGGTCTAAATGCTTATAAATGTAGTGTGTGTGTGTATATATATATATAAGAAAGCAGTCCAATGTGGTAATTTTAGAAATTTGTAAAGAGAAAGCAAGTTTGACCCAATTAGGATTTTATGTTACATAAACAACTTGTACATTGTGCAAAATATTTTGTAAGTAAGAGATTTTTGAATTATTGCATAAAATGATGATGCTATATGCTTTAAAACTTGTATTTAAGATATGGGTCTAAATGCTTATTAATATAGTATATAGATATATATATATATATATATACACACCAGTTTTCAGTAAATCAAATATTAAAATCTTATCTAAGTGAGAAGGGTATAAACATATATGAATATTATATAAGTATGTATAATAAAAAACATTATATAAAAAGGTATAAAATATAATCAAATGCTTAATTAAGGAAGGAAGTTAAAAAAGATTTAAGGAATTAAAGATGAAGTAAGGGGCCAAAAATTCTAAATTTAGAAAGTGAAACACACGGGCCACTTGTCGGCTCCATTACAAAGCAGCTAACCCGCACCAAGATTCTTTATTAGGCGCAAAAAGACTTCACTGTATCACGGACCCTTCAATTCATCACTCGCAACAGATATTTTTGTTTCATTCAGGTAATTTTTCTTCATTCTGTACTGTTTGTTTCCATCAATAATTTCCCTCAAATTCATCATCTTTGCCTTTCTTCTTTCATTTCGTCACGTTATCTGATTCAATTCCCAGCTCCGTAAGCGATTTCACCTCCAGAATCGGGTGAATTTAAGTGGGTTTTCATGGAGATTTAGGGTTGCAATGGTAATCTAGGGTTAGGGTTTTAGATAGTCATCTCTGGGTTTCTTGTAGTCGTATCCAGCCGTCAAATCTTTCAATTTTGTTGCCAATTTTGCAGAGCTTCTTGAAATAGAATTGCTATTTTGAGTGAGAAGTTGATTTAGGAATTCAATTTTGATTGACGTTTTGGATTGTTTTTATGTTGAACAGAGAGCTTTGATTGGCTTAAAAGTTATTGTTTTACGAAGTTAGAGAATTCAGGAGAGAAATTATGAACTTCAAGAACTATGGAAACCAGCCACCGGCGGCGGAGGTTGGTGGTGGCGGGAGTGGAAGACCGCCGGGTAACTTCAATTTAGCAAGACAAGGGTCGATATATTCATTGACTTTTGATGAGCTACAAACCACCATGGGTAGTATTGGAAAAGATTTTGGGTCTATGAACATGGATGAATTACTAAAAAGCATTTGGAATGCTGAAGAAGTTCAAACAACCGTAAACACCACCACCAACGGCGGCCAAGATGGCGGCGGTGGTGGTGGTGGTGGTGGTGATGGTGGAGCAAATATACAGCGGCAAGGATCGTTAACTTTACCACGAACAATAAGCCAAAAGACAGTAGATGAAGTGTGGAAAGATATATCGAAAGAATTCAGCAACGGTTTTGGACAACCGCACTTGCCACAAAGACAACAGACTTTAGGGGAGATGACTCTTGAAGAGTTTCTGGTGAAAGCCGGAGTTGTGAGGGAAGAACCCCAATTAGATTCTAAGTCGAATGATAACGATTTGTTTTCAAGTTTAACGAATTCCCAAAACAATTCGAGTTTTGGTGCTATCGGATTTCAACCGGCTGCAAGTAGGAATGTGAACCGAATCCCGGAAAATAGTAGTAACCAGATTGCATTCCAATCTACTAATCTACCATTAAGTGTGAATGGGGTCCGATCTACTCAGCAACACCCGCAACAAAATCATCAGCAGCAACTGTTTCAGAAGCAACCGAATCTGTCATATGGAGCTCCGATGGCTAGCAAGCAGATGGGTAGTCCTGTAATTAGGAATGGAATCATGGGTCTTTCAGATTCATCGATGAATGGTAATTTAGTTTCGAGTGGTATGTTACAAGGTGGGATGGGTGGGATGGTTGGTTTAGGGGCAACGGGTGGAGTCACGGTTGCTGTTGGATCTCCGGTGTTTTCGTCAGATGGGATTGGGAAAACGAATGGAGATACATCTTCGGTTTCACCTGCTCCTTACGAGTTTAGTGGAGTTGTTAGGGGAAGGAAAAGTGGAACGGTTGAGAAAGTTGTTGAACGGAGGCAGAGGCGGATGATCAAGAACCGAGAGTCGGCTGCTAGATCACGGGCTCGTAAGCAGGTTAATATTTATAAATATTTAGAAACCATAGATATTTTGAGAACCGTGAGAGTCAGTTATTCATGATGAATATACCTTGATATTCATTATGAATAAACTCATAAAACTTGTTTCTTTGTTTGATCGTTATGGGTATTTCTAGGCCTACACCATGGAACTGGAAGCAGAAGTGTCAAAACTGAAAGAACAGAATCAAGAACTCAAAAGAAAGGTAAATCCATCTCTTTTTTTAGACCAAGTTCTTTACTTTTAAGCGTCAAATAAGTTGCATTTGGATGAAAAAAAACTTGACGATTAACGCGAGTTTAGAAAAACTAAAACTAAGTTGATGTCGTATATTTTGCAGGCGGAAATGATGGAGATGCAGCAGAATCAGGTATCAAAACCATCTGTTACGGAATAACTAAAATCTGGATTAATATACTTAACCAAACACACACAGTATGTTGCACTCGGAATTAGGATATGGGGTAAGATGTATACAGACCTGACCTCTATTTCAAAGAATAAAATGGCTGTTTCCGTAAGTATCATGGGTACATAACGGATCTTTGTAGCCAAAACTCACTCGCTCTGTTGGAGTCCAACGTCGGCTAGACATGGACCATTTCTTTTCCGTATATATACTGGAACTTCTCTTTTCTTTTCTTTTCAAGGGCTCTTTTGGAGAGTAATCTGTCCTGGGAGTCCTGGTGCACCAGGGTCGCCTCTTGAATCTTTGTCGAACTGAATCTCTTGAACCTTTATCTGGCTCGATAATAGCAGGTTATGGAGATGATGAACACGCAGCCAGGAGCCAAACGACGCTGTCTGAGAAGGACACAGTCTGGACCGTGGTGAAGAACCTGATTAAAAGAAGCCGATCCGTTCGCCACTTGGCGTTCACGAGGGTTGTTTCTGTACATATTTCATAGACACGTGTTTAGGGTTTAGGGTTAAAGGGATGGAAGTCATATATTTGTGTTAAAGAGATGAATGTCAAGTCTTTTTCAAACTCCATTGTTGTCACATGAAGCAGAAGTAGAGGAAATACAAGTTTAGTTATATTTTTAGTCGAAATCTGGTTCCGTTTTGTGATTGTATTTGGGTTCTTTTTTTGAAACTATGATTATGAAGGTGCGAAAAAATGGTATGATTTGCAAGAATTATTATGACTTTAAATACAGATCGTGAACCAGAAGGGTGGTGTCTGATTGGTTTGAGCTTGGCTCTAAAGGTCAAAAGTACCAGGAGGTCTCAAGTACAAATCCAATGAGGAATAAAAATCCCCTTGTGGCCAATGTGGTGACTCCGGACTATTTGCAAAGCAGGTGGTCGTACTGGGATTAGTCAGCTCGCATAACTGGTTGGATATCCAGGTTAATAAAAAAAATACAGATCATGTAATTGTTACACATCCTATAAATTAATCTTGGCCATTGGATTTTTATATTTTTATAGTTTTTAGACGGTTATCAAATCAGTTGCAGATTAGACTAGCAGTAAACTCCAGCATTTCTAGAATTAGTCGAGGTGCGTATAAGTTGGTCTGGACACACACGGATAACAAAAAGTTTAAGTGTAGATTTTGGAACTAATTTAATCCATATTGTTGACATTGAGAGTTAATATTAGTTTATAATGTGTGTAATATTTACATGATTTATATTTGAAACGATCTCTGCATCTCAAGAATAAAATATTTATTCTTTTTAGGGGTTGTTTGTTTACCTCTTAATAGTTCAATTAAAAGACAGCATTTGAATCGTTAAGAGGTGAATATTGTTTGATAATTTTTTTTTGCCAACCCTCTAGATGATTTTGTATCCACGTCTTCTCTTAACCATTCAACGTCCTAATTTCGTTGTAAATAATTACCAAACAATTATATTTCAGCTTTTACTAAATCATGAGAGTCTCTTAATCATTTTGACCACTTAATAATTTTGTAACAAACTATTCAACAACTATCAAACAACCCCTAATAAAAACATGTTTGATAAAAAAAAATTAATTATATTTAAAGTAAAAAATGAGAGAAATCCAAAAATTGATCCGTTCATTTAAAACCTTCAAGTTATTATTGTTTCTAAAAAACGAAATGAACTATCATATTGAATTCTTTTTACATAATTATTAAGTTATTTTTTTAACAACAAGGGTGGTGTCTGATTGGTTTGAGTTTGAGTTTCAAAGGTCAAAGTGTCTGGAGGTCTCAGGTTCAAAAGGAGAAATAAAAATCCCCTTGTGGCCACGGAGGTTCAAATGCAATGACTCCGAGATACCCGCAAAGCAGATGGTCCCCTTAAGATTAGTCGGCTCGCATAACGAGTTAGATATTCAGGTTAATTATCATTTTAGATCGTATCCAAGTGAAAAGGTTATCCCAAGTGGATGCTAAGATAGCAATTAAAAAAAAGTTATTTAATATTTTATTAATCCTATTTTTTTAAAAAATAATTTTTTTTACAAAACAAAGTCTCAAAATAAATCTAGAATGACCTTTTTATTTATTATTTATCGTAAATAGTGAAACATTATTCATAGTATGTCCGTCATTCATCAGAGTATTTTTTTTGTTTTATGCGTCTGTAACTCTTCCTCAGTCTGAATGGGGCAGAATAGCAGATCAAGTACAATGTATTAGTAGCATAACAAAAATGAGTTCCTCGTCATTAATATGTTTGCTAGCAGCAATTATGGCCTCTCGGAAGAAATGAATCAATGACTTCAGTCTTAAAATAAATGTCTATGATAAAAAAATACAGTATAATTTAGAAATATATAATTACAATATTTGTTAATTAATAAAATGACAGACTCAACCATAATTATAAATAAAGAAATTTTCTTCGTCCCATAATTAAAAATAAAATAAGAAAATAAACTTTTAATTTTAAAAATAAATATTTATTTTAAAACAAATTAAAATAATGTAAAACATAAACATTAATTGTAAAACAGATAAAAGTAAATATCAATGATTTCTTGGCTGACGAGAGATTATTTTTTGTTAATTTGAAACCATTTTTTTTTCAAAAAAAAGAAAAAAAAAGAAAAAGAAACCATTCTTTAAAGGCAAACATATTATTATTAAAAATCAAAGAAATGTATAGAAAACGCCATACATTACCATCTTGAAATAATTTAAGGGGTTGTTTGGTAGTTGCTGAATAGTATGATGTAGAATAATTAAGTGGTCAGAATTATTAAGAAGCTCTCATGATATAATGCAAAATGAAAATATAATTGTTTGGTAAATATTTACAATGAAATTATGGCGCTGAATAGTTAAGAGAGTCATATGATACAAAATCATTCAGAGGGTTTTAGATCCATTAATATAAAAACTTTTTTTTGTCTAACAAGATTCACCTCTTAACGATTCAGATACTACCTCTTAATGGAACTATTAAAAGGTAAACAAACAACTCCTTAACATGAAACAAAACTGATCGAAACTAAATTAGATTAAAGAAACAGAGATACATATCAATTCAAATATTTGAACTATCAACCAAATATGAATCACGACATTTTTGTCGTTATTATTATTTTTGACAATTTTGGTCGTATTGGGTAAGTAAACATGGAGGTACCAATAATAGCTCCAGATCATTTGTGATCATCTACGAGATTAGTCGGTGTACATAGACTCGTTTAGAAATCCATAATTACCCAAAAAAAAACGGAATTTTTCTGGTTGATACACCTTTAACAATCTTGTGATTAATTCACCCCATAATCAGAGACGGATCTAAGAATTTTTGAATACGGTGACACCATATAAAATGGTTGCACCTCTAGAATAAAACGGTTGCACCTTTCACGAACTTAATTTTTTTACCTTACCACGGAGGAACAATACGATGACACATGCCACCTAACCACCACTCTTGGTCCGTTTATGCCCATAATTATTTTTCTCTTTCTATAAAGATAATGGCAATATGGTTTTTGTTAGTAAATGTTTTTAGTCAAATTTTTGAATTTAAATATTTTAATTAAAATGAATTGATGATTTTATAAATTCAACGATGTTATATCTTGTGGAATAAGATAGACAATTATACATATTCAGAAGTTCACCGTTTTACAAAAACAAAAAATCTAATTGATGAACAGTAGACCTAACACGATTGGCAGATAAATCAACATTAATTAAATCATTCATTTTAGTTTAATTAAGGGGTTGTTTACCAAACACTTACCCAGTAAACGCTTACCAATAAATTCAAAACTATCACTTACTTACCGGGTAAGTTTTTAGTCAACAAAAACGACATCGTATGCAAAAGTTTACCCGGTAAGTGCTAACTGTGGTAAGAGTCATCGTCCTCAGTTACCGGGTAAGACTCTTGGTCCTTGTCTTACTCTTACCGAGTAATATTTTTGGTCCTTACCATGTTCATCCGGTAAAGTAATGTGACTTGATAAACGCTTATTCGGATAAATGTTTGATAAACGACCCCTAAATCATCCATATTAAACTATTAAAAATGAAATGTAATATTGATTATAGAATTTTATAATTTTCATTTAAAAATATGTGCTTTAACTCCACTACTATTTAAAAATAATAATTTTAAAACGCACGTGTTGGTGGGTGAAGGTGATAGCGGTAAGGGCCGACATTGGCAACAGTGCCGATCGATAGACAACCATCATGGTGGAATGAAATGGAATGAAATAAATATAGTAACGTAATAGTTTTTTTTTTAAATTCCTTATCAGGATTCGAGAAATCTACATTCCATCATATGTGGAATTTGGAATCATTACCAAAACTCAAAAGAATTTATCATGGGCATTAGGGATATTCGTGGGTTGAGTTGATCAGTTTAAAGATATTTGAACAATTCAATCTAATGTTTGTGATTTGAAAAATCTTAATCCAAACCAAAGTGCAACCCAACACAAACCGTACGGGTTGGTCGGGTTGATACTTTGTTACATTAAAATATTCTTCTAACCTTAAATATGTTATTTCTTTATTCATAATTTCTTTTTCATCATCAACCATTTGATACAACTTATCCATACTTTTTACGTATATCACATTCAGTTAATTTTCTCAATCTACATATATATGTTCACAGTTACTGAACATATATACGAATAAGTTATATAAAGATGTAAATAGATTGAAAATATGTGTATATGAAGAACGTATGTGATAGTGTAATTATCCAATGTATATATAAATAATAAATTTAACAATCATATTAAATCCAAGAGATAAAATGATATCGGGTTCATCGAATTGGGTTCAAATAATAATAACCCAATATCTATGGTTTGAAATTTTTTTACTACTTGATTAGACATCGGGTTGCTTCGAGTTGAGTTATTTCGTGTTGGGTTGGGTTTCAAATAATAACTCAACAATTGTTTCTCGACTCTTTACACTATCGACTTCCATCTCATAACAAATACAACATACGAGTAACAAGATCATACTTTCCATGGTATGATCCGACATTTATCAGTTTACAAAAACAGTCTTATTGATTCTGCTTTTGGACTTCAACACCACCTCTTATCAATAAGAAAGCGAAATACTTCAGAGTTCAGCACCTCTTAAAAAACAAATAGCACTTTAAGCATCTGTGTGTTGATCCTAGCTAGGATACCCAGGAGTGCAACCATTGTCCTTCCAGGAGATCATTTTCCGATGATCCCGACCTCTGTAAGTTCTTGTGACAAGTCCGCCATTAACGGGTTTGCACAAACCAACATCAACCACAAAAGTACTCTTTCCTTTCTCGGTAGATGAAGCTCCATCATTCACATAAAAGTCGAACAGCATTGCGAGGCAACATACCTGATGGCCCAATATATAATTTTCTTCCTCCCAAGATATCAATTTTGCTACATGAATGTTTACCTAAAACATGCAGATGGATAGATTGCCATAAGAAAAAGGGAAAGAACAAGATGCATGTGGATAGAAACCCAGATGAAAAAGAGCAAGATTGAGGTTTTAACAGTTGTTCTATGTTTGTTTTGAGTTATAAAATAATACCCCTCTCGGGACAGGTTTAGATGAGAACCGTAAATATTTTGAGGAACCAATTATTCATCATGAATGCTGTGATAGATGTTATGAATAATGAAAAAACATGGAATTTGTAACATCCCATGCTAACTATACCAGATATTGTCCATTTTGACTTGTCTACACACCTGGACTCATGGTTTTAAAACGTGACTAATAGAGGGAGGTATCCAATCCCCTATAAAGGCAACTTTCATTCCGTCCCCAAACAATGTGGGATCTTACAATCCACCCCCACTGAGAACCCAACGTCCTCGCTGGCACACTAGTCCAACTCCCAACTCTGATACCATTTTTAACATCCCATGCTAACCATACTAGAAATTGTCCGCTTTGTCAACACACTTGGATTCATAGTTTTAAAACACATCTGATAGAGGAGGTATTCAGTCCCTTATAAGACAATTTTCATTCCCCTTCCCAACCAATGTGGGATCTTACAATATTCATGATTATTCATCATGAACAATACGTGAAACAGTTGGTTCCCGGTTCTCAAAATATTTATGGTTCTCATTTGAATTTTCTTCTACACGTCCCATCCCCTAAGAAAACCAAACTGAACGAACCTAATATCCAAGTCGAAAGTGGGATTTTGGGGGGATATACATAGACTTGGCATCTACTCGGTTCCGACATGTAAAAATAGTAAAGTGGGTTTTCTTTGGGACCGAGGGAGTACAATTTATCTTATGAATGTTCAGTTCTCAAGATCGTCTAAAATGGAGGAAAAATCATCTTTTGAGTCCATGGCAGACTTATTGGTAAAACAACATGACAAAGGATCTTACTAACATAAACTTAAAATAAACCCAGAAAGTTTCTTAATAGCTTACCTCAGCTTCCATGGCTCGTAATTCATTAAACCACTCGTTAGCCTCAGTCTCCGATCCAGTTCCTGCAGTAGTGGCTCTAAAAAGATTCAGGGTAAAAAGTGGCGGCCTGAGGGGATACTCCATGCTGATGTTGATCTGCAATAATAAAATCTTAAAACACGACTTTGGGTGATAACAACTTTAACACGCCAACAAAACAACATAAACACGTTGCATATACCTTGGCTTCTAATTTCATGAGCCCATCACCGCTGTAGACTTTTCTTGTTAGGAGAAGACGGTATTCCCGGACCCCACATGACATCCATGAGTTATCGATTACCTTTAAGTTCCCAGTCCCAGATATCTCATCAGTCTCTGGCTCAGTTTGTGGAGGCTCATCCACCTCACTGTCAGAAAGCAGCATCAAATCCAAATCTTCATCGTGCTTTCTAAAACTTGGTGATTTCCCCTTGCTCATTGGAGAAGCCATAGATTTCGTGATTAAAGCAAGACGTTTGGAGTGTTCGATGCCTGATCCCTTCACGGGGGTAGTGGTAATTTCATTCACAATGGTCGTGGCTGGATTTAGAGATGGAAGCTCCCCATCCTCCCTAATGTTCTCTATCTCTGCCTTCAAAGTATCGGGTTCAACAACCATGTCAACTTCCTGTGAAACTTGAATTTGTTCTCCAACAGACGCTGCAGGCTTGGGTGGTGGCTTAACTGTCCAGCTCTGCAAACTGCAGAGACGGACATGTGAAAACCACGGTACGGTTCTACAAGTCAAAGCAGGCCATTTAAGCTTTGTTAGCGAGTCAATCTGCTCCCTGTAAGTCAACCAAAGATTTCCAAGTTTTCAATATGCACACCTACTGGATAAAAAATAACACCCAAATAAACACATAGTTGAATAGCAATTCTCAAAGAGACACAAACTCAAAAAGAGCCACAAAATGCAGGTTAAACATCCAATGAAAAACAATAATATTAATTTATTTCAAGAATGTTAACTAAACAAGTACAAACTCAGTCAAACGACGTGAAACCTCATATCTGCCTTAGTAGCTCTTCATAATCATACATCCGTGACTTAAAGTCTAAACATACAGTGTAGTGACTCACGCAAGGGCCATCTGAGCCTTTTTCCTAGCCCGAATCCTTTGCACAACGGTCTGCACCCTGTTCTGCTGGCGATATAACGATAACCCAGAAATGATAGCAGTTTGTTTAGTTGTTTCACCGTTTGTGGAATCCCCGCCTGTAGTAAGGAGGGGTGAGACCTCTGGTAAAAAATCAATCCCGGCTAAATGTTGTGTCCATTTATATGGACGTGAAGATCTTCTTTCATCAAATATAGGACCATCGCCACTCCAAAGCTTAGCTGACTGCATGATAATTCAGAAACAATGAACGTGCTATGGAGCACAAGTATGGAATAGTCTTGCACGAAAATTAACAAAAGAATGTGTTAGCGAAAGTGAAGAACCTGATGAGGAAGCTCAAGCCCTGCGTCATTTGGGAAGAGGTTGCATAAGATATTACTCTCTGGACCCTCATTCGATCCCTCAATACCAACACAAACAACATTCAACTTCAGCAAATACTCAAATTTCAGTACAATAAGCTTTGTAGATTTTTGATCAGACGCCTCATCATCATGTACTTGGAGGATGAGTTTAAGTGGGTGAGCTTGATATATCCTTGCTGGATCAAGACTCTCTTTAACTTGGATTTTCTTTGGACGCTTTCTCCTCCTTTGGCCATCATCTTCCTCATCAGGCACGTCATCTTCTAACTTAGAATTCTCTATATTAGGAGAAGTTATGCCTGTAGCATTAAGCGGTATCATTTATTTTTCTTGTAAAACATTAAACACCACTTTATGGGTGCCAAGGGGTAAGAAAAACTTAATATTTTGGAACAGACGTCATTTGGGATAGACCAGCATCACAAGGATACAAAAATATAATCAAAGTAATAATGTCATCAGGTTGATAACCATATAACCAAAAAATCCATCATGTTAACTTGAATATTATGGATGTGAAGGATAAATGCATCAAGCTTATGAAGCATATGGTAGCGACTACTGGGAATCAAGAGTAATATGTACTGCAAATTATTTGAAATTACGCTAGGAAGATTGAGTGATTGATGATGGAGACCAGACTGGCAGACTCTGGATCAAACAATTTCAGAAAAGAATAGTTAAAGATTTTTTTTATCCACATCACTTCTGCTTCTATTGTAACAAAAGGTTCCCCTTTTATGGATGATGTAATGTACACCACATGAAAATATCTATACATATTTCAGCAGTAAGTGATATTCTTTGTCTTTTTCATCAACAAGTTCATGAAGGATATACATAGACAGGCAAGTCTTTAATGAGCAAAAGGTGATACTGTTTCTATTGTCACATGTAGAAGCAAAAGATCCTGCAGATACAACCTTACAAACTAGGTTGAGTGACTTTCTCTTTCATTTACTATATACTACAACTTAAGATGATACCTCCATAACACAACTCCATATTTGACTTTTGTGTGTCAAATGAGCTTCTTTATTAACTTTGAAATATCAATAAGAACTGTTTCGTAGCCGACCAAAATAGTTCTTGAACTAAAAGGTAACAAGACACTACAAAAATAGAGCATTTTGTAATTAAATGCTAATAACACCCATTGTTTATCGCGACACAAGTACATAATTCCATGAAATACATTGCTGAGAAAAGATGAAACATAGAGACAAGGCATATTTATAAGGTGGTTTATACATGCCTTTGACGATCGAAAGCCATAAAAACTAACTAGCAAGGGCAACTACAAGTCTACAACCTAAACATGACACTATTTTTGCATAGACCTGGTAATACCATCCCATACACAATAAACAGCAAAAACAACCATTTTTTTGTAATTGTTTGGGTCAATTTTGGGCAATTGTTCTACGGGTCACAATGGGCGCACATTTAAAGTAGTTCTACAAGAATTTGAAACCATATTTTTAATTTTTTAATTTTATGATAAATATGAAAATTTTCTATTTTCAATTCTATAATATTTTGAGTACAAATCTACATCATCTTGAGCAGTTGCCCAACCCAACTCAACCGCCGTTTTGCCACCTCTATTTTTGCACAAAATGAGCCATGCCATTTTCAAATTTCGCTGATTAACAACCTAAGCTTTAGGCCACAGAGTTGATCCATCATGTAACACCCCACAAAATCTGAACACCCACGTAAGAAAGAACAAGATGCATTAAATGGTTACCATTGTCCTTATTGGCTTGCTGCCGGGCAAATACATGAGCATCCTTCATGCTTCCCACAATCTCGAGATCAATACTCTCACCAAATGCTTCTTTATGAGCTAACAATTGTGAGTATATCACATAGAGAGGAGGTGGAAGCAACTCTGCTGACTGATGCTGCTTCAGTTTCTTCGTGTGAAGAATTCCCAGTTGGTTTTGTACTGGAAGGGATGCCTTCTTTAGAGATTTAAGGTGTGATGGGAGACTTGATAAAAACTTCTTCCTGTTAGCAATAGTGTCCTGGAGGATCTTCTTTTGCTCTTCCATTTTTTCATGAAGCTTGGACAATTCTTTGCGCTAACAGGGAAACATACTAGTATTCTGTCAAATGATAACAATAAAAAAAGCAACAAGGAAAAAAGAAGGAATGCAGAAGGTAATATAAAGGTAGTGGTAAATCTAATGAAGGTAAAAACATATTGCAGGAAGGTATCACCCCTAAAATACAGAGCATAACATCCAGAAACAAAGTGAACATTTTCTGCAAGACTGCAACATCTTCAAGTTACATGCACCAAGGTCATCAAGGCAACAAGACAATAGGCCAACCCTCAGACGTCTAAAATGCATAAGAGGCAGGACACCTACCCAGTTTTCCATAAGGCAACAAGTTGATCACTATGCACATATTAGCCGTCTACAACAGGTTGCATGTAAAGAAGTCATTTTCTTACGCACTATTGATCGTGTATGATACCTCAAGTACTATTTTTCTTTCTGCATATACATACATATACATGTATGTATGTATGTATGTATGTATGTATGTATGTATGTGTATCCATATATGCGCTTGCATGTGAAGAAAGGGAGGGAATAAACAAATATGAAAAGTAATCAAAGAGAAATATGAACAGCCCCAAGGCTGGACATGTCAAATATAACATCCAAGAGGTAAGCAAGTTTGCTATTAGAAGGGGAGGCTATCAAATTGACTATTAATAAAGTTACACCCAAAATACTGCCTTGTTATTCAGTAATAACAATATACCTGAAACAGCTCAAAATTGAGCCTCTTAAGCATCAGATCGTGGGCACTGTCATTTGACTGTACAGAGTTCTTAATTTGTTCTGGTGCATCTCTGAAAAAATCTTCCTCCGGAACAAGTTCAATATCTGGATACTTAGACTTAAAGTCTTTGCAAGCCTTTATTGCTTTCACATAATGATTTTTCTCATACATAAGGTTGTGGAGTTGCAGTGTTGTGAAGTCTACAGGTGCTTTTGCATGTTCAGTCTCTGCTTTTACAAGGTCTTCTTCAAGCAATATGGAACGATTTGCCTGCATGAAAACACAATAAATTTGAAGAAGCCCAAACACGGTATATGTCAATGTTACTATAAACACTATACGTTCAGGTAGCAAGACACAAAAGAACAACCAGGAGCAGACATATAGGCACAATATAGATACAGGAAAGAGTAATTAAGATGATCTACTATACAGTTCAAGATGATAAAGTAATTATTTCATAATGTGCATACCAGGAAGTGGAACAAATTACTTAGTTAATAATGTTTTAAGAATGATGATTCACTATGTTTAGATACATGGAGCATAGTAACATGAGTAGGAAGCATGTTGGCCCAACTGATTCAGTGTAGTTAATGTTAGAAATTTCTACATTCTTTTAAAGTGTACAGGGCTGTGTTTAAATACACACTTTGTTTCCTTATTAACAGGAAACTATTCTATAAAGGATTGAAGGAAACTAATTTCTGTTGACCTAAGGAAACAAACTAATCTATACACACTTTGTTTCCTTATATCTAGACCAAAATTCTACCTCAAGTTGGAACATATATATTTATAAGACCCAACTTGCAGATGATTATATCAGAGCTTGGCTTGTACAATCCTTTTATTTGAAAGTGACATCAATTTCTACGTATTTAGTCCTATCATGCTGCACAGAATTATTAGTAATGCTCATCGTAGCCTTGTCACAATATAATTTCATATGACCATCCAATGATAGTTGTAGCTTCTCTAGTACTTATTTGAGCACGGAACTGTGCTTCAGTATTGCTGCAAGCCACTACATTTTACATTTTACTCTCCCACGTTACTAGATTTCCCCATACAGATTAGCAGTATGAACTTGTAGATCTTCTACCATTGTTTGGACCTGCCCAATCTGCATCACTGAACACCTCAACAATTCTTCGAGTCTTTTTCACAAAGAATAGTATCCTTGAGATATCTTATGACGTGTTATGAACCTTCTCAGAAAGGTGCATAAATCGGCTGATTAAACTCACGGTGAAAGAAAATCAAGCATTGTATGAGACAAGTAGATTTGACTTCCCGCAAATGAAAGAAAAATTCAGCCTTGTATCTCCCAAATGCTTCACCCCGGAATACAAAAGCAAATTCCGGCTTTTACCGGATACTTCACCCCTTAATCTAGATATCCACCATATAAATTAACTTTGCAAGTCCCCACTGCAAAAATAGATATTTAACACAAAGTAAACATAATGCAAAAAATCACATCCCCTTACATATTGCCTAATCTTCTTCCTGAAAGGCCTGAATATTCAACGGTCTCAACAAGTCATATACACACAGATACTGTCCAAAATGCAAAAATGCATGAAGATTATGATATATGTTATTGAAAACGATACACTAGAGAAGATTAGGTCATTTTCCACTAAAGAAAGATCCTTACTTCAAAAAAAGGAACTTTTTGCAATGCAAAACCTAATTGACCAAACGAAGTACTACATCATAATTCTGCAAAAGATGCATCAAATGAGGTTCACATTCACTACAATAATTCAAATTTGATTTTTCCACAATCACTAAACTCCCATTAGGGCTGTTAACAAATAAATAAGCATAGGTGCAAATAGAGAAAGATAAAAAAAAACCTTCCGAAGGTTCACAAAGTTGATGAGCATCTGAGTGACGAGCTCAGGCAGTTGTGATTTGGTACTATCGCCGCCTCCTCCTTCTTTCTTCACCGAAAGCATCTGTGCAACTATGTCCTCCACGGAGGCCCTAGTCTTGTGAAGCAAATCGTACGCAGACGTATCTATCTTCCGATCCGGTAAAATTTCGCCGGGTTCCGCCATATTCAAATCCATTATTCAAAACGCTCTCTCCACCCTCCGCTACTGCAGTCTCTCCCAATTCTTGATTCCTCCGTTTCTGTTTCAGCCATAGTCTATGTATGTTGTGTTGATGCCGTTAGTTAGAGCTTACTAATTCGGCCCACTATTTCTTATTGGGCTCATTAGCTTTTTCTGGGCCCATTTAGAATCTTCAATTCTAAACCTTACATTTACGATAGAGATGGCCAAACATAACCGGCCCGGCCCGTAACTGACGGAGGCCCGGAACCGAGACCGGCTGAAGATCGTAACCGACCGGGACCGGTAGTAACCGGTTATGGACTGGCGGTTACGAATCGGTTGGTGTTTTTAGGAAAATCTTGGACCGGAACCGGTTATAACCGAAACCGGTTACGAAACCGGTTATGGGCCCGGTCAACGAAAAAGTCAAACTAGCCGTTGGAAGTCAAAAAGTCAAACTAGCCGTTAGTAGTCGTTGGAGCCTTATGACCGTTTTTTTCATCTTTCTAGCTACCAAAACATGTATAAATAGAGATGGGAGTTTCTTAGTTTGTTACCAACTCATCTCATCTTCAAAAACACAAAAAACGCTATCAATTCTCGGTTTTTCGCTTTATTTTTTGAATTCGTTACGTATTAATTTCTCGTTTCCACTTCACAATTCTCGTTTATTTCTCTCTTCCACTTACGATCTACAAAATGGTCGGTGAACAACCCTCAAACGAATAAATTGCCCAAGTTCTCGCCGAACAAGGACGAAAGTTCGAGATTTGGAATTACTACAACTTGGTGGTTATCACGACCGGGAAACGAAAGGCACAATGCAAAATGTGTCAAACTCTCCTTACAGCGGAAGGAAATTCTACGTTAATAAGGCACACTGAAAAAACGTGCCCGGGGTTGAGGTCGGGGGGTGATTCGAGCCAACCGATACTTGACACACAAGGTCAAATATGGAACTACGATGCCGATTTAAACCGACAAATGACTACACAATGTGTCATTTAAATCGGTTTGCCTTTTGGACACTTCGACAACCCTCACGTTACGAAGATGATTCAAAAGACGCTACAACCACGATACAAGCCGGTAAGTCGTCAAACCCTTAGATGTGATGCTATAAAAATATGGGCAATTGCCAAAGACGAAATGCAACAAATGTTTTCTTCTTTGCCTAACAATATTTCTTTAACGTGTGATGTATGGAACGCACCATACGGATTGCCGGTTTCTTATATATGCATAACGGCACATTTGGTTGACCCTAACACATGGCAATTGATAAAATAAATGTATTTTATTAGCATTTTATAGTTTGAGCTTTGTAAAACAATGTCACTTTAATCATAATAAAACGTACTTTTAAAGTGTATTTGAGTAAACCGTATTTTTAAAGTGTATTCTTAAATGTATATAACAAAACGTATTTATAAAATTAAACGTATATAACAAAACGTATTCATAGAATTAAACGTATATAACAAAACGTATTCATAGAATTAAATATATATATATATATATATATATATATATATATTACATAACAAAACGTATTTATAATAAAACATATTAAAAACAACATATTTCAAAGATATTAATAACATATTATAAATTTATTAATTAGCAAAAAAATTGGAAAAAAAAAAATTTCAAAGGACCGGCCGTAACCGGTTATGGGACCGGAACCGGGACCGGACGGCTTAACCGGTTACCGGTGAGCTTGACCGGTTATAGAGTTTTTCACCGGAACCGGGACCGGTTATAGAGGGACCGGTTATCACAGGTTTTTGTTGCGATCGGGACCGGCCGTAATCGGTTAAGGCCCGGCCCGGGACCGATTTTTGGCCATCTCTAATTTACGATAAGAGATGGCCAAATGGGACCTGGCCAGGACTGGCGAAGGACCAGACCGACTTAGGACTAGCCTGGTCCAAGACCGGTTTGGGACCGCCGGTTAAGGATTGGTTATGGTTTTCGTTAAAAAACAAGGCCCCGTCAGGGACCAACCCGATTTTTTTTTCAAAAAAAATGTATTAGATCCAAGAAATACAAGGATATCGGATTCATCTGGGTTGGGTTTAAATAATAGTAACTCAATTTCAACTCAATACCTACTTTTGAAAATTTTACAACTCGATTAAATACCGGGTTGCTTTGGGTTAAGTTATTACATGTTGAGTTGAATTGGGTTGGTCGGGTTTTTGAGCACCCCTACCGATGATAGTATTAGAAACAATGATTATCAAACACAACTTTGTAATAATATGTGTGTGAATATGTTTTGGAAAGGTGGACTGACGTTTGTCGTCATTTTTGGAGCTATGCATTTGCCTCAAAGATTATAACAATAAGCAATGAAAAATTATAATAAAATTAGGTTTATAGGACGTTAACAATGTATATGTGTCATAATAGACCGTTTTATAGGACTTAAATTTAGATGACCAAACTATAAAGTGTCATATGTAAAATGGTTGTAATAAGTTTGTAAGACATTTTTGGACATCTTAACAAGTTTTAATTTCAAGACATTTTTAAAATAAAGTGTTGTATTAATTATTTTACAGGATATTATTTTGAAAAGTGTCTCATAAAGACAAGTGTTCTATGAAAATGTGTTTATCAACACTTCTTAAAAGTATCCCTCAAATAGCTAATACGACACGTTATTTTGATTAGGGACGGACCCATAAAATTTTTCAAACAGTGGCACCATATAATTAATATAATATCATATACATCTAAAACTAATTACAAAAAATATGGTTTTTATAGGACCAATAAACAACTCCTAAACTTGTACCCGACGCGTCTTCATCTTTTGAAAACGGTCGATATATACCCAAAAATAATTACAAAAAGTATGGTTTTTATAGAATTGAGGAAAATACAGTAGCACTTTCTAAAACGATACGGTAGCACCGTTCACAAACATAAATTTTTTAGTTGCACTATTTGGATTTTAGGAAAATACGGTAGCACCGTTCACAAACCTAATTTTTTTACCCTTCAACGGAGAAATAATACGGTGGCACGTGCCACTCATGCCACTTAGGTAGGTCCGCCCATGATTTTGATGATATACTAAACTTGTTAAAACATTCAAAACCTTTTATAAACTTATTCAAACACCGTTAAATGCAAGATAAACCTCTCATTTTAAATATAAAAAATCTAAAATATGATTAGAATAATTATTGAGTTCTAACAGAATCATTATCTTTATAAAAAAAATTATTGTTAAGCAAAAAATAAATTACTTGATTTTGACTTAAATTAAAGTATAATAAAATAATTGAATTAAAAAAATTGTACAAAAAAAGAACTTTTAAATAGTTAATTAGATATTAATATCGATATACTTTTTCAATTTTTTATGATGTCTTCAAATTTATTTTTATTCAAAAGTAAAAATATTATCTTTCTCAAAACCACATAACCTGTATCAGATCAACATAGACGAAAAATAAAACGAAACATTAAAATGAAGATGTATCTTGCGGCATTGCGCGAGTACCCTTTTAGTGTGTGTGTGTGTGTGTGTGTATATATATATACACACACACATTACTAGAAAATTGAGCATCATCATGGACAAACATTACTACTCTATTAGGGGGTGTTTAGGATTGCTTATTTGAAATAACTTATGTTTTTTCACAAAAGCACTTACCAACTTATTATAAATCAGAATGATTTAACTTTTTTAAAAACTTTTATTACCGGTTTGACACCGGTATACGTTGTTTATCAAAACACTTAAAAGTGTTTATTACCGATGTCACACCGGAATAAGTCAATAAGTTATTTTTATAAGCAATCCCAAACACCTCCTTACAAAACTGAGCATCATTAACGACCATCACCAACATCTGTTTTTTTCGATGGTTTCATGTTTATTTATTTTTAAAATCTCATCGATAAAGCGTCGAATAACGTTGCCATAATTTTCGACATTCCATTTTAATTTCAAAGTTTTATTTATTTTTTAAATCACGTTGTTAAACCGTCGAAAAACGTTATCAATTACCGACGACTTTTCAAATGATAACACCATGGTTTATACTTATAGTAGTAAATGCATGTGTAAACGTAACATATAACATAAGTATTTGTTCAAAATATAACCTAACATCTTTTAAATGTGTTATATTATTACGTGGATCAAAACGAGTTGGGTCAAAGTTAGGTTGACTCGTTATCCTTTTTTTTTTCATTTTTTTTAAATTTTAAGTAATTAATGTATAAAATATGAATATTAAAATAAAAGTAAATTATGCTTTTCATCTTCATGAATTGAATTTTATTCATTTTGCATCTAATTTAACAAACACCGACTATCCTTACCCCTATCATGACCATGCTACTATTGTCACTGTCACGCCCCCACACCTAATCTCCACCACCCATCACCAATACCGCTACTAACATCATTACATCTGTCACTCTCAACCCTGACCACCAATATCACCACGCCATTAATGGAGATTTCAATTCTTTTGAGAGATCTCATTCCAAATCCTATCAATCAACTGAGTGATCAATTTCGATTAAATTTCATTTCAATTCCTTCAAGATCAAAATTCTTTTGATGAATTCCAATTCCACCAAATTCCATTCTATAAACCAAATGCGCCCTAAGTATAAGAGAAGAAAAACAAATAGTAATCGTAAACTACAGAGATCAAAACAATAATGAATTATAAGAACGAAATAGCAATAAATTGCAAGCCATATAAACGGAAATCACAATTTCTAATTCAGTAGGACATAAATCATATTTTTTTTTAAAATTAAACCACATAGTTGAAAACCATAATTTCCTCTCAAGATAATAATCTAGTTTTTGATACAATAATTTAGAAGTATGCAGATACTTAAGTAAATTTTATACAACTTTTAATCTGACATTTAATTACTACTTTTTTAGTTGTAATTTTACTGGTTTAACTTGTTATCAATACAATAGAACCTAAATTTACATAAATTAGTTGAGTATAGCTATCTTTATAACCATTTTGATTTGACAATTCAAAAAAATGACGTCTTCGAAAAGAACTAAACTTTAGAGGATGTATTACTTTTGAATGTTTGATTTTAACGTGTAAGGAGATGGACTTGCTAGCAGGACAATTGTTGGTATTTCTCTGCCATATCGTACACAATAACGTGGGTTGGAGGATGATTGGTATAGATGGACATGATTATGTCGAATTTTGGATTGGTTAGAATGCCTAATTTTACTTCTTATATAAATTGTCATTATAATAGAATTAGGTTTATAGGATATCTAAAATAGTTAGGTTTTAATAAGGGTTTTATACGACCAAACAAAATAGGTTTAGGGCATATGTCAAAACATGTTGGGTTGATTTGTTTACTTTCTTATATATATATAGGGGCTGGTTCAAATACTAACCCAATATTTTGTGCAAACTATGCTAACCCATCTTAATCGTTCATTTTCTCATCTAACGGTTATTATTAAATGAGATTAAATAAACAATAATTTAATTAATATATTAATTAATATGTGTATGAA